GTGGCCAGCCTCAGGCTGCTGCTCTGCTATGGCGGGGCCCTGGAGGGGTAATGGATGGGGGCTGTTTGGCTGTTTACCTCCATGAGGGGTCTCAGAGCTGTTGCCCAGGGGGTTAGTGCGACCGGAGTTCCCTGGAATTTCCAGCTGCTGGAGTGTGTCCCAGGATGCTTCTGTCCAGTTGTGGGGTTCCTGTCCCTTTAAGACTTTCAGAAAGCACTAGCTTTTCTTTGTCCCAGGGGCGCCGGCTTCGGGACCCGCTTACAGGTCTTACTGTCCTGCTTCCCTAGTTTCCAGCACCCCACGCATGCACTGTGTGTATGTGCTCTGGTGCAGATGGCTAGGGCTGGGTGTTTAGCAGTCCTGGGCTCCCTCTCCCTACCTGCTCCGACCCCACCCCCCGCACCGCTGGGAGCTGGAGTGAGGGGCCTCGGGTCCCTCCAGGCTGGGGCTTGTATCTTACCCCTTTCACCAGGTGCTGAGTTCTCGCAGGTGTGGATGTAGTCTGGCTATTGTCCTGTGTCTTCTGGTCTCACTTTTAGGGATAGTTTTATTTGTTGTATTTTCAAAAATATATATGTTTTTGGGAGGAGATTCCCACTGTCCTACTCACGCCACCATCTTTAGAACTAGTCTGATGTGAATTATTATTAAAGAGGTGACAATGGCAGTAGTTTGGTTCTGTTTTCAAAAAGTCTTATTATTTTAGAAATATACCTGGAAATATTTAAAGGTGAAATCATATGATGTCTGATATTTGCTGCAAAATAATCTGGAGGGGATATAGTATCAATGAAACACACTTGACCATGAGTTGATTAATTGCTGAGGCTGGGTGATGTGTATGTGGGGTTCATTATACTGTTTTCTCTGTGATTTTGCATAGGTATGACCTTTTCCATAAAATGTTTAAGGCCTTCTAATAAATAAACTTCTTTCACTTAATTTTTTTTAGTAATTTATAGCATGCTATTTTTTGAGACCACATAAAACTATTTTGAGACTAATGCATAATATTTTCAGATTTAGCTTTTAGAACATATTACATTTTAATAAAATCATGGCCATTGGCTCCAGCTTTTCAGACATTTTTCCTTTTCTCTTTGATTTAAGGTAATATGAATTCAAAATTTTGAGAAATAATGCTTTCCTTTAAAACATGTTACTGTTACTCATGTAATTATTTGATCTACTGAAAGCTTTTTTTAAAGCCAAATCATTTTTCTGTCAAGACTCTCCAAGTGAATAATCAATTTTTTGTTTGGTTTGTTTCCAGATAACCTTTTTCATGCTGCTCTCCGCAGTGTGTGTAATGCTGAATTTGGCTGGCTCAATTCTCTCCTGTCAGAATGCTCAGCTAGTCAACTCCCTAGAAGGCTGTCAGCTGGTGAGTAATGAAAAAGAAACCTCCTTATAAAGGTCATAGGCTTTCATTTTGCATGAAAGTCATTTAAAAATATTTTTATTACATCCTTGGATTTATTCTGATTTTGTATAGTTTAAGGAACTTAAACTATTTTAAAATTTGTCCCAAATTAAAACTCGTTTTTACTTTCAAATCAGTTACTAAGCATATATATCTAAGGATCACAATGTAGTGCTGTTTTAGAATTGCTTTAGCCATGATTACATTTTAGGCCTTGTTGCATTGATTTTCCCCTTCACTGAATGTTTAAAAATCAATTTTGCAAGTAAATTTTAAATGCTGAGATACATCTAAGCTTGATTATGAGTGCATCAAAACAATTTGGTTCTCATTTTTCAATTAAAAAAGCGGATTATCTTTTAGATCTAGGAAAATTATAGACAGTGTGCTATGTACATTGTAGGGGATCAATAGATGTTTTCTTACATAGAACCATCTTTCCACATCATGACCTACTCCTGGTACAGTAATACATGCATCTGGCTGGGGCAGAAATGGAAGTGTGTCTGGTCATAGTCAGCAAGGCTGTATCACTAGACTCCTGATATGACTGTGGCTGCGAGCTATGTTTCATTGGCATCTGTTTCTTTATCTTAGAAATGATGCAGGGCTACCTTTTACAACCGTGCTCCTCCACAGCCAGCCTGTGCCTGTCATTTCCAAGAGGTCCAGGGCTACCTGAATGACCTGAAGCTTTTCTATAGCAGAGCTATGCCTACTTTCTTATGGTCATGTTCTTTGGGTTCAAAAGGGCAGCTGTTGGGAAGCCTGCTGTTCTCTGTAGTCCTTATCCAGCGAGGCCAGCAAATGTGCATACACTGGCACAATTTCAATGCAGAAGCACTTTCTAAGTTCCAAAAACTAACAGTGAGAACTTAAGTTTGCTATTTTCAGTTCAGTGTGGTCTAGACCATATTGATCAGAATTCATCCCAGTATGATGTACAGGGAATGTCCTCTGTATAGTGCAGTATTCCACATGACTACTAAGAATTCACACAACCTAGAGCCCCATCTCTGTCAGAAAGGGTGACTTGTTAACTTGTATCTGTAACTTGGTCAGCCTTTTTATTCCTAAATACCAGGTGCTGTGCATATGGTACAGTGTGGCAACCTACAAGGGACTGACCATTTTTATTCTGACCCCCATTTTCCAATGCAAGGGCTTGTGTATGGGAGATAGAGTGACTGGGGTGATGAGATGTAACAGTGGCTTGAGTTCCAGATAAAAAAGAAAGCCCATGCCTAGTTGCCCAGTCTTGAAACATTGACCCTTCCTGGTCCTAACCTGAGGCCCTGTTTCCCTCTATCACATCTACATGAAAGGATAAGAAACATAGATTTGGTTTCCTTTATTCCTTACTGCCTTCAGTATCCCCCTAAGTAAAATAAAATAAAATAAAGTAAAAGATGTGCATTTTCATGTACATCTTGGTTCAATAGAATGATCAATATTTATCTGAGTTCAGAGCCTGGTCTAAGCATCTCTCGGTCCTGGCTCATACACGGCCACTAAGTTCAGAGTGAGATCAATGTGCTTCTTGCTGAGCTGCAATGTGCATGTAGAAAGAATAGTGGGTTTGGAGTTTAGGATCAAAGTCGTGGCTTCATAACCTACTAGTTGTGTTTGAAATGCTACCAGTTATATGACTTGGCACAAGTTACCTTTCCTCTCTGAGCTTTACTTCTCTTTCCTGTTGAGTGTGGTCATTACCTGCCCTGAGCTTTTCATAAGGTATTAAATGAGATAAAATGTATAAAAGCATAAAAAATAGGCTCCTTTCCTGTTATAAAAATTATACATCTACCATAGGAAGTTAAAAAAAACAAAACACACTCAGAATCCTACCACTCAGTTTATTTTGTCCTTTCGGTCTGTTCTGGGCTTATGTATGTATCTGTAGGTGTGTGCGTGTACATGTGTGTGTGTATATATAAGTACACATATATGTCTGTGTATGTATTTAATATATATCTAAATGTGCTATACTCTTCATGCTGCTTTGCGATTTGTTTTTTTATTGATCATGAACATTATTTCATGTTAAAAATTTTACTTGTGGCAGCTCTATATATGACTATAGCATTATTTATTATATTATTTATTATAAATCTCTGCTTTTTGCATTTGAGGGTTGCCATTATCCTTATACAAAGTCTTTTTCTATAGCTCCTAAAAGTGGACTTGCTTGATCAAAATGAATCCATATCTTTAAAACATTTGATACATACTGACTTAGTGCCTTCTAGAAAAGTTTACCAGTTTATAATCCCAATATATGAAAAAGGTCTTCCTCCTACACACTTGCCAGCACTGCAAATTATTTTTTAATCCATGCTAATTTGAAAGGAATAAAATGACATTTTATATTGTTTTAATTTGAACTTCTTTGACTATTAGTAAGACTGAACTTTAATTAAATTTATAATTGCATATACAGAAGTTTATATATGTATATGCACATACATGTATAGGCACCATTTATATTTCTTCTTTGAATTGATTGTGTCCTTTACCAATTTCTAGATTTAAGTATTTATCTTACTGATTTGTAAGAGCTCTTTATATATGCAATTATAAATCAATATGTATTTTAATTGTATATGAAGAAGTTTATACATGTATATGTACATATACATATAGAATTTGTTTACATGTATATAATTAATATTTCCCTTCTGTGAATTGACTGGGGACTTTACCCATTTTTAGATTTAACTTTATCTTATTGATTTGTAAGTGCTCTTCATATGTTATGGTTTTGAGTCCTGAAGCTTATATTGGTCAAATGTATTTCCTGGATTGTTATTTTTCTTTTAATTTTATGTTTTGACATAGAAAAGTGTTGAAGTTTTGTGTATTCAAATCTATCAGTGTTTTCCTTTGTGGTCTTATGTTAGAACTAATAAAAAGACCTTTTCCTTCCCGAGATCATGTTATCCAAGAATGTTATCCAAGATCATTTCTTCTCATTGTGGTGTGCTTTTTTTTTTTTTTTTT